ACAGTGTCTAAGTCAGTGGTCTGACCATCAAATGCATTGGTCGGCTGCACCTGAATGTAGATCGTCTCGGAGGACGTCTGTTGTGACCCATGGCTCGGATGGCCTTCCATTCGCCGCTATATCGCAATCACATCCACTCATCAGTTGATGGCATCATAATTGGTGGCAATCGTGTCAATACATACCTTAAACTTGTCTAAAACACTCGGAGATGCGGTGAATGTCATCAAAGATGTCGCAACGCTTCCGATCAATACGTTGTCAACACTTCAGTCAACACAACAAATGCCACCAAAAAATGGCCGAAATATCCATTCATTTCAATGCCTCACACTTTGGCACAAATATTCAATTTCACCACAAATTACGACAATATTATGGCCGCTATTAAAGCGCCCCTCAAATGCACTGTCAATGCAATGTATGTTTCATATAATGGACGTTAATTATGGACATAATATTAATACGATATTAACCAATCATTTCAAGCATATATAATAAGCGCAAAATTTTAAACCATTGATTAAATGACTTAAAATTTTTAATTATAAAATCTCACATATAATTAGTTTTAAAGTTTTGTCCATTCATTTCAATGCATTCTCAATGCACTCCATATCAAAGTGTAAACATTTCGGTCACACAAACACTTTAGATAAACATTTTTAAAAAAATTAACTTCAAATATACGACAAATTTTGGTAAAGTTTTTATTGAAATTATTTAAAATTAAATTCATTTTAAATATCTCTATAAGAGATGATTATAAAATAGGTTTGGAGTTAATTACACATAATTTAAGGCAATCCTCTATATTATTATTAATTTATAATAATTTATAATAATTTATTATAATTTATTATAATTTATTATAATAGTTTTATTGTAAAAACAGATATAAACATCAATAGTATTGATTCAATACAATATAAATGATATACAGGTTTGTATGGGTTGAATGTGGGGTCGAGTGATATGTTTGTTATATAAATGAGTTTAATATTACTTGTTTTCAATCAGTTTTCTTCTGACGGTATATTCATTTGCGTGAATATTATTATAATTTATTATATAATATAAATAATTGCAAACATTTCTTATATTTTAATTCAAATATAATTCATATTAAAAATATTCAACAATTTTAAAACTTAATAAAAGTCACAAATATTACAATACTTTATGAATGAACCGAAAATATAAATTAAAATGAATTCATTTTTTATGCAATGTTTCAAAAAGTGATAACAATTTGTGTGAAAGTAAACAAACAATTGATTCAATCATTTAATGAATCAATTAATTGACGGCTTATTCAAAATTAAGCCCAAAAATTAGTGGATTATTATTTGGGAAAGAGTTGTATGTCTTGTGTTGGAAGTGCTTAGAGGGTAGGGATGGCTGACCAACAGTTCCATTCGGGCCATTCTGGCGGCCATTCGGGTCACTCCGGCCAACACGTGTCGCCCATCTATGCTCTTCAGCCGCAGTGCTATTCCACACCATATGTGAGCCAACAGTCGACCGAAACGGTGACTCATTTGCGGTCCCTTCAGTCCCTTCAGGAACAGCTGAACTCACTTCAGCAACAGAGGGATCAGTTGCAGAAAGAGCTCAATAACGAGAAGCAAAAAGTGATGCAAATATCACAGCAATTGTCGGCTCAGCAACAGTTGAGTCTTCAGATGCAACAGCAATACGACCAACAGCTCAGAGCTCTTCAGTTTGAATTATCCAAATACAAGACACCGCAGACTTCACACGAAGCCATCGTTCAGACCACACATCAGTCACTCTTCCCGACCGTCAATAAGTCGGTGCGAGTGAGCGATGAGCACAACGTGTGCGACACGTGTCAGTTCCGCTCCAAATCACAGGTCTCTCTTCTCCTGCATCAAGTGAACCACGGGTTGACTCAAAAACACCTTCAATTGCCCACAACTATCTTCACCACCAAAAACAACAACAACTCATTCCTCTACAGATGTCCACAGTGTGAGGGAAAGTTCACTCGACATGAAGTGTATTCACACATATATCAGGTATGAATTGATTGATTGTTTGATAACTAAATGGTTGAATTGTAATCATTGTGTTGCTTGTGATGAACAGTTCCACACTCAAGAACAGCCCGTAGTGACGTGTCTTACACTAGATAAGAAGTGAGTAAAGCTAATGGATTGCCTTGTGGTTTCTCTATTTGTGTTGTTTTGCTTCTTTGCTTTGCAAGTCTTCTTATCGTGATTTAGCGGCTTGTTCAAGAGTAAGAACAGTCCACTCGTCTCATCGCCCGGTTCTTCGTCCGCATGGAATTCATTGGAGACAATCATTTCGTCCACAATCGGCACATTCGACGAGACGACCACTACTATCGGTGCCATCACTGACTCGAGTCCGCAGATAATGGCCAATAGAGTGCAGCAAACAGTGAATCCAATAATACCGAAACCGGCGCCGATTCACGTGGAGAAGTCTGACGGAGAATTCAAGTGCGCGTACAGTGACTGCGGGTTCGCCACCAATACTAAGGAAAGACTTGAGTTTCACTTAAGCGCTCACAAGAACTCAAAGTACAAATGTCCGTATTGTCCATATGTGGGCAATGTTTTGGTGGATATTCGGCGACACATCCAGAAGAGTCAGAAGCATCAGGGCTTTCATGTGTTTCAATGCCAGAAATGCGATTACGGATCCAATTGTGAAAAGACATTTAAGGATCACTTAAGACAAATACATTTCGGTAAAGAAGTGACCGAAAAAATGATTAATTCATTCATTGATGACATGTTCTCCAATGAAAGTGGAAAACTGTCGGTTCAATAAGATTTGCATATTTTTCATATCATTTAATATAATTTTTTAGCAAATAATACAAAATCACTTGTGATTAACATTTTCTTCATTTACTAAATAAGAATTTAATAATTTTTTATCGCAAATACTATTATAATGTATAATACGATATAGAAATTCAAATATTTATCAGTCATTTCATAGTTTTTGTTGCAATAATACATTTGAAAATGATTTCAATTAAAATAAATAAAATTTACTTATGAATTGAATTACCATAATATTAATACATGCACTACAATAATACAATCTTAGAGAGAGAGAGAGAGAGAGAGAGAGAGAGAGAGAGAATTGAAAAAAATAAATTTCTCATTAGATTCTTGCTTTTAGATGTGTTTTTGCCTTATTGAAGGTGTTTTTGAGTCAACCCGTGGTTCACTTGATGCAGGAGAAGAGAGAGAGAGAGAGAGAGAGAGAGAGAGCGGTTGCTAATATTTAATAATAATAATTTAATTGATAGTATAATTAATTAATCACTTATTTGTGATTAATTTGTAAAAAGTTTTAAGTAAATGATGTGAATATGAAATACTGTGTCGAAAGGGATGGCAATAGTTGTGGCAAAAAAGGTAACGTTATATATGACGGGTTGAGAGCAGAGAAATGGCAGTGAATTGTGTCCAGACATGAATCGATGAGTTGAACCATCACTACATTGTCTTCGCTATAACTGATCCAAAGGCCACACTTAAGTCACTATTGAATATCGGAGTGAATTGATTGGTTGGATCTGTTGAAGAGTGAATCAAGCGATGGGAGACCACTCTCATTATCTTCAGCCCCAGAACCTTATGTACAACGGATACCTCCAACTGAGCGGTTCCGCACAACAGACATCGCAAAACAACACATCCATCGTTCAGATGCGGACACTGAGGGAACAGTTGAATCAGACGAACGCCGAGAAGGATCAGCTGACGAAAGAGCTGAATGTGGAGCGACAGCAGAAGCTGCAGCTCCAGCAGGAGTTCCAGAAGGCTGTTCAGGCGCAACAAGAACTCAACTATCAATGCATGACATTGAGGCTGGAAGTGGCCAAATATCAACAGCACCTCCAGAATCTGCAAACCTCTGGAGGAGTCATTCAACAGACGTCTCAACAGAGCCAACAAGTGGTCAAAGAGGAGCCGAAGCCCGATGTGAGCCATATCTGCGATGAGTGTCAGTTTGAGACCAAATCTCAGGTCTCGCTGTTTGTGCACAAACTTAACCACGGATTGGGATCATCGACGCCAAGACATCTTCATTTGCCGACCCGAGTCTTCACCACCAAATCCGATGGCAACACATCGTTCACATACAAGTGTCCCGCTTGTGATGAGTCGACACCATTTGGCAGACATGAGATCTATTCACACGTCTATCAGTTCCACTCTTCAGAAATGCCACACAAATGTCCCATTTGTTTGCTATACTTCACTCATTCAGACTATTTAACTGAACACAAACTCGACAAACACAAGATGGCTGTCGCAGACACTCCCGTCAGCTCTGGTCGCGGCAGAGGTCGAGGCGGACGGCCATCCAATGCGCAGTCGAGGAATAATAACCGCAATTCACCCAAACTTCCGGCCGTTTCGTCGCCGATGACAAAGCAATCAGTGATTCAGACGCCGTACGGATCCGTCAAACAGGAGACAAGCGATGGGTCGGCATCTCAGGCCACTTCCAACTCCGGCTTTATGGGTGTGGAAGCCGTGAAACGCAAAGCCGAAGATCCGGACATTATATGTCTGACTGAGACTCCGGTGAAACAGCCGGCGGTTCAGAAGACGACAACCATTACGATTGCCAAAGAGGACGACGAGTTGAACTGTACTTATCCGGGCTGTGGTTTCACAGCTCCGAGTCGTGACCGCTTGCAGTTCCACATGAGTGCTCACACGATGTCTAAATACAAGTGTCCGTATTGTGCATACGTTGGCAACATTTTAGTTGATATCCGGCGACACATTCTCAAGAGTAAGAAACACGAGGGACTCAATGTATTTCAATGCGTTAAGTGTGACTACGGGTCGGACTGCGAGCGCACATTCAAAGACCACCTCAAGAAATACCATTACGGACACCACGTCGACGAGTCAGCTCTCGATGGCGTTCTCGAAGAACTCTTTCTCAACGAAAACAATAAGCAAAGAGTTTCCGCCGAATGACTGATTCACTCATTTTCCTATCGCTTCTTAATTTCAAACATAATATTATTATTCACTTTCAGTTTCAAACAAGTATTAGATTTCTTTTGTATAACAATAACAAACATTTCGTTTAAGACTAAAACACGGATCACTTCATTCATGTGACAATCCATACAAATTTATAGATTATTATCATTTTTAAATCTATTATTTCTTTGACTTTTTTGTGTAAATTTTTAATTTGAAAATAAATTAACCAAATTTGTGGTTAAAATACGAATTAAATTATCTTTAATTTTCACTAATTTTGTAGACAATTATTCCTTTAATTTACTATTTTATCAAATTATTGTGATTTAAAAAAGCAAAAGTTTTTTCCTATTATTTTGTAACCATTTTTTGAAAACTAAATAAATATATAAAAATTTATTGACTAAAAAATACTAAACGCTAATCAATCATTCTTTTAATATACCCGCAATTCTTAACCACAATTCTGCATAGAATAATGCGGTTTACAGAATCGTTAGGCCCCTCCCCCGCTCTATGGGATTTAGCATGTAATCCCATGTTAATTCTATGGTTATATTCTATAGATACTTTAACATGGGGCCAATGTTATCCTATGGCAATGTTACTCATAAGGGAAATCGAAATCTTTAGGGAAAGGTAGTTTTTCCCAATGCTAATGGGAGTAATGTTAAGTCTATGGGAGAATGCTTCTCAATGGATTTCTAAGTCATGGATTACAACTTGAATCTATGACATAGGTTTAACATGGGTAATGCTAAGTCTATGTGACTAATGCTGATCCTATGGAGAATGTTAATTCTGTGGGAATGCTAATCCTAAGGGCAATGATAACTCTATAGGACTAATACTAAATCTATGGGTAATGTGGAATCTATGGGCTATTGCTAAGTATATGGGTAATATTAAAGAGGAGAATGCTCTCTTAGAATGACTCTTAAGTCTATAGGAGAATGCTAATTCTATTGCAATGATATTCCTATGGACTAATGTCAAGTCTATGGATTATGAATAAATCATTGATTTGAAGGTAAATAACTTTTTGTCCCGAAAGCGGAGAACCTCCTGAAAGTTTGGGGGCACACCATATATACACCATATATACCTAATTACGAGTATTTTGAGAGAGTTTTATTTCACCTTTTTAACACCTTTTGAGACGTTCTTACCTTTAGTAACTTTTTGGTAACTATTTCATTGTATTGCTAAAGTTCTAACAAGTTGTAAGTTTCATATTTGAACTCAACGTAAAATTTTACATACAGTAAGACTCGTACACAATAATCATGCATTTCTATAATTTTTATGTAAAATAAATAACTTTTTCATAACTTTTATCACCGTTTCAATCATTTTAAAGTAACTTTTAAGTAACTTTAAGACTGTTTAAGACTGCTTTAATTATGAACTAATGTTAAGTCTATGGGATTTTTTAAAGCATAGAATCGCTGTGTGATGTTTTAATTTTTATTAACAACTTTAAAACAGTTTTCATTATATAAATAGTATTAGTAATTAAACAAAATTCTTACAAATTATTTATAAATAATTAATTGAGAAAACAATAGATTAATTGAACGGAGATTTAATTATTTTGAGCACTTTTGTGATCCAATTTGGTCTGAAATACCAAACAACT